TCCTGCCTCCCTCTCCCTCCTTTCTTCCTACTTTCCCCATTTCAGTTCTTATTACTCTTCCTTCTTTTTATAAGGCTTCTTATCTTTTTATTTTATTATTTAATTAAAATATTACTATGTCACTTCCCACCTTAAAATCTTGTTAGGAAATCCAACCTTCTGACCAGTTAAACCTAGAAAGGGGGCAGCAGTCTGAGAACATGAAGAAAAACTCACATCCCTGTCTATATTCACTTACGTGTCTGCCCATCTCTTTGTCTATCTTACAATTTCTCTGAGGAAGAATCAACAGTTTTGTCAATTAGCTTTTTATCACCATGACAAAATACAAGATATCTGTCTTTTAATAATCTTGGATGCTTGAAGATCTACACAAAAGATGTATCTGTGCACATCTCCATTACATGCTTCTTTTCTTCATTTTTTTTGAACTCCTGCTTATCCTGTTGTATTACTTCTGTTCAATAAAAAGAACTTCCCCTCACTAGTTTTACTTGAAAACAATGGGCTGACAGGGTGATTCTGTTGGCAAAGTGCTGGTTACATAGGTGTGAGGGCCTGGCTCACAGCTACCCACAAAAAGCCAGACACAGCAGCAGCATGGACTGTATTTGGAGTGATGCTATGGCAAGATGAGAGACAGAAGGAAACAAGAGAATCCCCACAAGAGCCTGGCCCAGGAAGCATTTCATGAGTAGTGGTGAACAACAAACCTTGTCTCAGATCTACACCCAAACTTGTCTGCTGATCTCTAATGACATACCATGGCAAGAGACGATCCCTTCAAAATGAACATGAACAAATGGATCTAAAACATGAATCTAAAAAAAATAAAGTAATATGACAAGAATTCTGTTACTTTTCTTCATTGAGTCATTTTTCTCTATCCCCTCTCAGATAATGCTTTCACTGGGTATGTACAATTTTGAGGGATCAAGTTGTTCTTGAGATAACTTACATTCTTTACATAGTGCAGCCACAGTGCACTCCCCACCTCACACCTCAAAAAGACTAGAGGGTAAATATTTAACAGAGTAGACTGCAAGGAAAAACTGGGTGGTGATGGTGCATACCTTTAATCCCAGCACTCAGGAGGCAGAGACAGGAGGATCTGGTCTACAGAATGAGCTTCAGGACAACCAAGAATAGATAGAGAAATCCTGTTTCCAAAAAAAACATGTATTTAGAAGGGTCCTTTAAGACATATATGTTGCTCTTTTCTTCTTCTCTCTGTCATTCTTCCCGTTTCTCTCCCCACCTTTGCCCTCCGCCCTAAATAAACCCCCTCCCGTGGAAAAAAAGACATATATGTTGCTCTAGTAAATATTCTGCTGACACCAAATCCCTATGAGTGAAACAGGAGCCCTTGGAGCAGCAGGACACACTCTGCTGGGCAGATTTGCATATGGAGTCATTATATAACAGCCCAGGCTCCTTTAAGGTCAGCTGTCAGGAGCCGAAGAAGCATCCTCTCTTCCAGCTCTCAGAGATGGAGACAGACACACTGTTCCTATGGGTGCTGCTGCTCTGGGTTCCAGGTAAGGATGCAGAGAAGTGTTGGAAGCAACCTCTGTGTCCATCATGACTTTCCATGCTTCTGTGCTCTTGATCATTATAATTAGGGCATTTGTAATTGATTTTAAGTTTCCCCATTCCCTTGATTTCCTGGTTTCTCATAGTGACGTCCACAATGTTCTTGAAATTTTTAAAATAAAAGGTCCTCTGCTGGGAAGGTTTTTATACATATATAACAATAGTCTGTGTGTTTATCATTTCAGGTTCCACTGGTGACATTGTGCTGACCCAGTCTCCAGCTTCTTTGCCTGTGTCTCTAGGGCAGAAAGTCACCATCTCCTGCAAAGCCAGCAAAAGTGTCAGTATATCTAGCTATAGTTATATGCACTGGTACCAACAGAAACCAGGACAGCCACCCAAACTCCTCATCTATGAGGCATCTAACCTAGAATCTGGGGTCCCTGCCAGGTTCAGTGGCAGTGGTTCTGGGACAGACTTCACTTTTGCCATTCATCCTGTGGAGGCTGATGATGCTGCAACCTATTACTGTCTTCAAAGTAGGGAGGTTCCTCCCACAGTGCTCCAGAGCTGAACAAAAACCTCTTGGGGTTGCAGCTCACTGAGGCTCAGTCTCTCAGTTCTCTCTTACCCTCTGACATCTCAACACAGAGCTCTATGTATATTTAGAAAAATATCTCAAATAATGAAACAAATTCTATATACAGTTATACATGTGTGTCCCGTCCTTCATGCTCTATAACTTATTGCCAAACAAAATATATAATTGTTTTAATTATTAGTTATTCTTTAAATTTTTATTAACACATTTTTATCTTTGGATGATTTTCCCTTCTCCCCTAACTCCCTGACCACGTGTCTGTCTGTTCCCTCTCCCTCAGCATCCTCCTTTAAGCTTCCAGTCAATTCCAGTGAGGAATTGCTGTCTCTTATTTTTAATTCTGAAAATAGAAATGGATAATAAATACAAATTATGTCACTCAAAAATAGTGTTAAGCAAAGACATTTACTGGTGTTCGTGTGTGTGTGTGTGTGTGTGTGTGTTAAAGGACAACCTACAGAAGTTAGTTCTTTCTTTCCACCACATTCAGGCTGGGATTCAAACTCAGGTCATCAGTCTTCTGTGAGCATGCTTCCTGGTACAGAGTGAGCAACCATGCCAGCCTGGGATACTATTTCTTTTCCTTTAATCATTTATTTTCATTTTAAATTGTGTACCTGGGGGGAGGGATGCAAGTGTGAGTGGTCATAGCAGTCAGAAGTTGGCATCAGATCCCAGGGAGCTGGAGATACAAGAGATTTCAAGCTAGCTGATATGGGTGATGGAAACCAAACTGGGGTGTTCTGCAAGATCAAGAAGAGCTCTGAAATGCTAACCTACTTATTCACCTCTGATCTACCATTAATTAAGGTACTCCTTTAGATTTAGTAACCCCTTTTCCCTAGAACAGTGGAAGACTTGATGGGAGCATAGCTGTCCATCATCTAAGTTAAATAGTTCATTGAGTAGCTAAATTTGTCAGTTAATCTTTCAGATAAAGGCTCACATTCTCATCCCAGTGTTTTTTATTCTCCAATTGCTTTTATTTGCTGGCCCTCACAAACAGCCTGCTGTAGTTACTTAGAAACATAGACTGTGCTACAGTTATTTTGCTGCTTTTGTTCCAATGTCTCTATCTCTGTCTCCATCCCCAAATTAAGTTTTAGTATCCGATTTACTGATTTTCCTTTTGTCTTGATGCAATATTTTTTATTTTATCAGCTTCTATATTTGTGTCCAATGTCTTCCTGCCCTTCTCTTTCTTCCTTTTTTCTTCCTTCCTGTCTTTCTTTCTTTCTTCCTTTCTTTCTTTCTCTCTTCCTTTCCTTCTTCATCTTTTGTGTATGGTATATAAAATATATGAGTGAAAGTAACTTATAGTACATGTATAGAACAAAGGACAACACTTGGTGTTGCTCTTCAAATTTCACCTTGTTTGAGACAGGGTGTCATCAGGGAACTTTACAGACATGGAATTCAGGGAAGAGAAGACTTACTGGATACCTTCTCTTTGAAGACAGACAATGAGCTGTCATCAACTTGGACTTCTCTAAAGCACTGAGACACTAGTACTCCTTGGATTTGTATCCCTAAGGGAGACGTGCTTTTTTCATGTAGTACAGCTTCCTATACTTGTATACTAGAAAACAGAGAAAATGGCCTTCTATGAAAAATACTAGTTATAATACTACCATCCAACTAGAACTATCCAACTATGAGGCTGAAAAATGATCTGAGGTCCCCTATATGTAATTATGTTTTGCTTTCCTGGAAGAGTTAAATCTCTGTAGACAGACACTGTTACATGGAATCTACTCTTCCAGCCTCCTCCAGTACTGTATCTGTGGTGATCAATGCCTCCCTGAGAGAAGGATATGTGAAATCCTGTTGGGAGCCGCCACGAGAGCTGACAAAGTCCGCCATCGCTAGGTGGCGCTGTCGCCCGTAATTCTTCCTAGTACCAAGTAAACTGCGCATGTGCCATGGTAAGCCCGCCAAAACTAAGCCCATCCCACGGCGTTTGGCGCGCTACGAGTAAGCAGCCAATCAGGGGGTGAATACCCCGCTCTGGGGTATATAGGCAGTGCTTTCCCACGCCTTCTCGTCTTCTTCCACCATCTTGGTTTTGGGGAAATAAACGTGTTCATACGGAAGGATTCTGGCGTGTGTGTGATGTGTGTGTGTGCGCGCGTGTGTGTATGTTTTTTGCCGGCGAGACCACTTCACGCGCGCCCCGCACATTTGGTGCTGAAACCCGGGAGAATTTTCCATCGCCGGCGCTGCTTAAAGAAGACCCTCCGCTCGTTTTCTCACGCGTGGAGTGAATCCAGAACCGTATGACGGGATAATGTTCTCTGAGAGATAATGTTTGGTCTTGAATTTTTTCGTCTCCCTCCCCAGACAGTGCTGGTATTCTTCCTTCTGGTTTTGCAGGATGAGAAAAGCTGCTCGGTTATGGCGGCGGGCTGGGGAGTGATAGACGAATTATGGGCCCACATGTCAGAAACAGAGACAGAGAAATGGAAGCGCTTAAAAAGTCAGAAAAGAAAAGAGAAAAGAGACATATTTAAGAAATCAGGCCTCCCCGAGGACCAACCCACGGGGGTGAGAGAGGAGAGGAAGAACACTCTCGGGAGAGACGGAAGGAAAATAAGCCTCAGAAACAAACCTCTGTATCTGGTAAAGGAGCCGGGGTTTTTACGGCGTGATAGCTCTGAGTCGGAGGGACTAACTTCCGAGTCAGAGGACTCAGATGAAGAGAGGGATGGAGAGGATAGATGCCAGCCGGCCGCCGCCACGAGATCGAGTGCTTGCGTTAGTGACGGTCAATTAGAGGCTGTGTTTACAAGAAGAATGTTTCGGGAGAGTCAGTCTAGGTGAATGAAGATTTTGCCTAGGAGGTAACAGCGAAACATAGGTCAAGAGAATTCTAAACAGGCATTGCCTATGGCCGAAAAGCCGCTTCAGGCGGGAAGAACAGGGTTAAAAAGAATTAGAAAGCAGGGTATTGAAGTGTTAAATTAGCTGCTCGCTACATCTCCAATGAACGAGATAAAAAGTTACATTTTAAATATGAGAGAGAGAGAAAGAGTTTTAAAAAATACAGGTGCCCTCTCTCTGAGCTGTGTCAACAAAAAAGAATGAAAAGGCTATTTCAGAGTTCATCTAGAAGCAGAGAATTCGGGAGAAGTCCTGAAATTCTCTGTAGTTCTTAGAGTCCTTTTTGTCTCTTGTCCTTGGCGCGCCAATGTCCACGTGTTGTGTTTGCCTTTTGTTTCGTTGTCTAAATGTTCTGTGTTTGTTACGTGTTCAAAAAGAAAGATCGTTAAAACTGCTTGATCCAACCTTTGGGAGCAAAAAAGGTCTTTTCAGGAATTGAGGTTGACATAAGCTGCTTTTAAAAGAGACCAGCAACATTTTGAGTTTTATAAGGAAGCTAAGAGTCATTTTGTCCTAGAAAAACCTCTGTGACAAAGTGCTTTTCTCTTGAAATTACAGCTAGAAAGACAAGAAATTTTGTTTGATCTAAAAATAAGATATATAGCCATTTCATTGTTGTTTCAGATTAGTTTTAAAAGTATAAAAATGTTCTACATGTCTTGGTTATAGACTATTGGCTTAAATTATTGGGTGTAATTAAAAATGTACAACTTTGATAACGAAAGGTGGCGTGGAACTAGCTCAGTGTTGGAGTCGTTCAGAAACCAGGTATATAGAAAGTAAGATTTTAGACCAATGTCTCTTCAATGAGATTAAAAGCTGCTTCATACATTCATGTGTAGAGAATTAGAAACAAAACTTTGTAGTATAGGGGTGGTCTGCTTGGTGTTGATTTTAGAGAAGATAAATTGTTTAAATTGGTTTTGCTTTTGCTTCTCAAAATTAATGGTTACACGCTAATGCTACAAAAGATATTTAAAAGTTTAGTTAAACTGCCAGTATTCCATTGGCTGCAGTTGGCAGTTGTAATCTTGAGTTTAAAAATTTTTTTTTTGATTCGCCCAGGTTATAGAAAAGGGGGGGCAGCAGGTAGAGTTAAATAAAAATATTTATAACAAGTTGTGATACAGTACTGGCCTGCTAGAGATTAAGAACGTTTACATTTAAATTAAGACATACAGACTGAGATCTTAACGTGCTTGTAAGACAAGGTCAGTGTGATATTAATCAGGTTAAACTGCCTACACGGCCCTCAAACCATACAAGCAAAGACAGACTTAGATACTTGTCTTTGCAATGAAATTGCATCCTCATGCAATCAGGTTGTGGCCATAACTACACAGAGCCATAGAGATGGGGAGTGTTTTAAATGTAGAAATTTAGATAGTTTTTAAAGTGACTGTCCCAGGAACAGAGACTTAAACAACAGCCAGGTGACCAAGGTTACCTGACACACCTGTCCTTGGTGCAAGAAGGATAATCCTTGGGCCAGGCCTCAGGATATAGGCCAAGATTAAAACATTTACATTTAAATTAGACTATAACAGAGTAGTTGAGACAGGAGCTTAAATTTCAGACATTCCTATTGTCCTGTCCCGCCTCAAAAAGGGTGTTCTCTAGAATTTGTTTATTGCCTTGCTTGTTCCTTAGGGAGGTGTCTGCCTCAGACTCAAAAGAAATTCAAAACAGCTTTTGGGCCAGGCCAAAATTGTTGGGTGTGATAGAGACAAAATGGCCTTGGTTCCTCTGATGTGTATTAGGTCTTATTAATAACAAGAGACCTAATCTTAAATTAATAATTGAAGAAAAAAAAGGGTTTTAAAAGATTGATAGATACTGGGGCTAATTAACAATTATTAGAGGACAAGATTGCCTTCAGCTTGGCTTTATTTGATACTTCACTCAGCTAAAAAAAGTTGGTTATTCAATTAATCAAAAAACACTAGGGCCAGGCAGTGGTGGCACACGCCTTTAATCCCAACACTTGGGAGGCAAAGACAGACAGATTTCTGAGTTCAAGGCCAGCCTGGTCTACAGAGTGAGTTCCAAGACAGCCAGGACTACACAGAGA